CTTTGGATTGAACTTTACCACTAAGCCACATCCCCAGCCCTTTTTATCTTTTGAGACAGGATCTCCCTAAGTTGCTGAGGCTGGTTTTGAAGTTGCCAGGCTCAGCCTCCTGAGTCACGCCTGGCTTTCTCATACACTTATACCAAAACAAGATATTACAACAGATTGAAACAGATGAGAATCTGGCTGTTTTCTACTAAGCAGACATGAGGTTTGTGAAAATATAAACAATGCCACTCTTCCCACTAAAATGTCTTCTGTTTAGGAAAATGCATTTTTCCCAAAATATTATACAGCGAGTTTATGAGTTATTTCTAAGTAAATATTTTACATGTTTCAGAGTTTTAATGTCTAATATGTTAACATCAATAGACACAAACCACATAAAAAACTCTTTGGAGCCCTCCATAAATTGAGAACAAAAGAATTCTCCTATCAAAAAGTTAAAGACCTTACCTAGTAAAATAATTTAGTCTTGGCAATATTAAAAAAAGTTAATTCCGCCTTTTAAGATTCCCTCTTCATATTGTTCCTCCAGTCGTTAGTCTAAGAAAAGCAAATCCTTTAGAATTGTACTTTACCATGGACTCTATGAGCCTCAGAACTTATTTAAAGGCTGTAAAGTCTCAGAGTCTGAGCTCCCCTGGGCTTCACTGTCTAGCAGCACGTGGTTCGCGCTCATTCCCGAGCCGTGAATGGCAGCAGGGTCCATTCTGGGCGTAGGTGGGCTCGGGCGCATGCGCGCTCCACAAACCTGATTTTTCAGCTTTTTCACAAGATGAAAAGTCGTTTCCAGGAACCCTTATGCCCACACCAAGTTATTTACCCTCAGAAGCAACTACCCGAACTAAACTTCTCACAGCTTATCAATAAATTCACCGTAAACTACAGCTTCTTAGTTCAGAGGGTGCAAAGAAGCGGGGTGGGCCGCTTCTCTAGCGCGATGGCTGGTGGCCCTCACGTTCCTGCTGTGGGACACCCCTCCCCAGCAGCTGTAAACCCCCGAACCGGGCTTTTGGATGGCTTTCGCTTAAAGAAGCACGTCCCCTGTGACCTCTCAGGCGCCGCGCCACCTCCCCTCAAAGGGCGCGAGGTCGAGCCCGACTGCGGACGAGCTTCCATTTTTCCCTTTCCCCTCACCAGTTCTTAAGGACAGAGCCAAAGGTTCTCGACTCCCCTGAGGGTGGACCGGCGACTAGCCGGTCCCCTCCCCACCAAGACTCCCCCAGGGGCCGGTGTCCCCGGGCGCCCCTGGCCTGGGAGCCTCGCTCTCCGGCATACCGCCGGTGCCCGCCACAGGACTGGTCATTTTCGCCTTTGGGGGTGAGCTGGAGTTTCAGAGGTTCTGAGGAGAAGGGGCAAGAGTTGGTCATCGCCCTGAAGAGAAACCTTCTCCTCAGACACAGGTGCCAAAACTGGCAGCACCCAGCACCTTCATCTGCAACTGGAGAGGAGCCAGCTACCTTCTGGGGCGAGGAAGACCTGAAGGTGATAAGCACAGCGTGCCGCAGCCGTGACTCTGCAAGCCCCTACAACCTCGACCTACTTTTTTCCCGCCAAGAGGAGAAGGCGCGAGGACGTGCACAAGCTCCGCCCCCTAAGGGGAGCGCTCAAGACCATAGCACATGCGCAGTTGGAAGTTGCAGCTGCTGCTGAGCGGCCATCTTCCAGATGAAGACCCTAAACTACAAATCCCATAATCCTCGTCGACTTCACTTTTTAAAATAGGCGGCAGCAACAGTGCCTGAGTGTTCTGAAGCACATTTACCAACTCATCTCTTTGCCACACACTGCTTCTTCCGTCAGCTTTTCACACTTATTCTCCCTTCCAGTCTCCGCACTCTTTAATTTTGAGACTATCCTGAGCCTCCATTCCCACTTATAACATCCACTTCTAAAACTGTTGAAAGGGAGACCAGGACATTCATCACCCGGGGGAAACGGCGTCGAATCACGGTTTCCCAAGGGCTGGGGCAAGGGACCCAAGGTGGGCTGAATCCATTTCCCCGCCCACGCTCGCTTTCATGCAAGGCGGTGCGAAGTCGCAGGGTGCCCCCGGAGGACCCGCGTGCGAGCCGTCCGCGGGCCCGGGGGCCTCGAGCGCAGGCGCCGGGTGGTGGGCGGAGGCGTTGGGGTCAGTACGTGGATATGGAGGCGGAGAGTAAGGCGTGGTGTTCTGTGGTGATCGCGATTGGAGAAAGGCAAATGAGTGAGCCTTTTCGGGGAAAGTTGGGACAACCTTGGCTGTTTCCGTTGTCTTTTTTTTTTTTTCAGAGAATATTTCCGAGGGAGGGTGAGTTAAAATGACATAATCGCACTTTGCTGAGAACAGTTCGTAAGAATACGGTCAGTACACTCCACTTCTCCCCTGTCTCTACTTCATGTTTTCCCTTCTACTCCCTCCAAAGCCCTACTAAGTAGGTGTGCTGAAGGGAGGTGTGCGATCGCCTCATGAATAATTCATGAACACGCCTCCTTTACTGGAAAAGCCACGCCCCTCGGATTCGTGCTGACGCACGCTGCGTATACCAAACCTGAGGAAGCGACGTAATAGTTCCCGCCCCTAGGACTGAAGGCGGGGCATCATCTCCAGCACGTGCTGCAGCTACCCGCGCAAGCCCAAAAGGGTGTGCGCAGGCGCTACCCACTAGGGGGAGGAAGGAGGCGGGGTAGGGAGGTTGTCGGGTTTAGAGCCGGGCGGAGACCGCTGAGACTCATTCCTCAGGAACAAGGGTCGAGTGTCAAGGAGACCTTTTCACACCAGCTCCCCCGCCTACAGAGGGGGGGATCGCGCTGCAGAGACAAAGGATATCAGTAGGGCCGGACATAGCTACGAAGGGAAGTAGAGTGCCCGTTTGGGGTGGGGGGCTTCTGGGGGGCTTGGGGGGGCTATATTTAAACTCCCGGAGCCGTTAAGTTGGTTCGTACTCTGATGCGCGCGCAGCCAGGGCGGTGGCGAAGTGCGCATGCGTGGTTCCGGAGGGAGAGGAACGCGCGCCAGCCGTGCGCGCTCGCGGCTGAGTGGTAGTGGCGGTGGAGAAAGGGGTCGGCGCACGCGCTGTTGATTTCTCGGGTTGTCTGGGTCTCGCGGGCATCTTGTTTTGGTCTCGCGGGCGAGTGGGGAGCGCTTCGGGGGGAGGCGCCTGGGCTCAAGGCGAGCAGAGCAGAGCTGCGCGCGCACTCGGGAAAGGGGGGAAGGGAGTAGGGGCCAGGAAGGGGGGGTTAAGCCCCCTGATCCCCCTCGGTACCCTCGACTGGGACGGCATAAGGGGAGGAAATGATCGAGATGGCGGCGGAGAAGGAGCCGTTTCTGGTGCCGGCCCCGCCGCCGCCGCTCAAAGATGAGTCGGGCGGAGGGGGCGGCCCCGCGGTGCAGCCGCACCGAGAGGCCGCCTCCAGGGAGCTCCGCGGAAGGACGGAGCGCGGGCCTGGACGGAGCGCACACTCGGCAGGGGCCACAGCCAGCCCCCGGGGTGGCCAGGGGCAGCAGCACCGAGGGGGCGGCCCCCAGGCGCAATCGCACGGGGAGGCCCCCTTGTCCGATCCCCCAGGGCGAGCGGCTCCCCCGGACGTGGGGGAGGAGCGCCGGGGAGGGGGCGGGACGGAACTGGGCCCCCCTGCCCCTCCACGGCCCCGCAATGGCTACCAGCCCCACCGGGCCCCTGGGGGGGGAGGGGGCAAGAGGAGAAATAGCTGTAATGTTGGGGGAGGCGGTGGAGGCTTTAAACATCCGGCCTTCAAGAGGCGCCGGCGGGTGAATTCGGACTGTGACTCTGTGTTACCCTCCAACTTCCTCCTGGGGGGCAATATCTTTGATCCCCTGAACCTGAATAGCCTCCTGGATGAGGAAGTGAGTCGCGCACTCAATGCGGAGACCCCTAAGTCATCCCCACTTCCGGCTAAGGGGCGAGATCCAGTGGAGATCCTCATCCCCAAAGATATCACTGACCCGCTCAGTCTCAATACTTGCACTGATGAGGCCCAAGTAGTTCTTGCTTCGCCACTCAAGACTGGTCGCAAGCGGCATAGGCACCGGGGACAGCACCACCAGCAGCAGCAGGCATCTGGAGGGAACGATAGCCATGCCATGCTGCCCACAGCCCCCCTCACCCCCTCACTTCACGGGGAGGGCGCCACACAGCAGCAGCGGCACAGGGGCCAGAACCGGGATGCCCCCCAACCCTATGAACTCAACACAGCCATCAACTGCAGGGATGAGGTCGTGTCTCCCCTTCCATCTGCCCTGCAAGGTCCCTCAGGCTCCCTTTCAGCCCCTCCAACTGCCTCAGTTACCTCTGCACCCTCGTCTTCCTCCTCCCGACATCGCAAACGTCGCAGGACTTCCAGCAAGTCGGAGGCAGGGGCTAGGGGTGGAGGCCAGGGTTCCAAGGAAAAGGGCCGAGGGAGTGGGGGAGGTCGTCACCATCACCACCCGCTACCTGCAGCAGGCTTCAAAAAGCAACACCGCAAGTTCCAGTATGGAAATTATAGCAAGTACTATGGGTACCGCAATCCTTCCTGTGAGGATGGGCGCCTTCGGGTTTTGAAGCCTGAGTGGTTTCGCGGCCGGGACGTCCTAGATCTGGGTTGCAATGTGGGCCATCTGACCCTGAGCATTGCCTGCAAGTGGGGTCCATCCCGCATGGTGGGGCTGGATATCGATCCCCGGCTCATCCACTCAGCCCGCCAAAATATCCGACACTACCTGTCTGAGGAACTACGGCTCCTACCCCAGACTTCTGAGGGGGACCCAGGGGCAGATGGTGAGGAAGGGACTGCCACTGTTCGGAAAAGGAGCTGTTTCCCAGCCTCACTGACAGCCAGCCGGGGTCCCATTGCTGCACCCCAACTGCCCTTGGATGGAGCGGACACATCTGTCTTCCCCAACAATGTTGTCTTCGTCAGGGTAAGAAGGTCCTGAGGGTCTTGGAATAGGGATGGGATGTTTAAGTGAAGTTAAATGGGAATGTGACAGTGGAAGGTTATGACCCAGAGGTATTTTCCTGCATCTTACTCCTAAGAACCAATTCCTCAAGAGATGGGTCTGGCTTGGTAAGTGAGACTAATACTAGTGGTCTTCTCTCCCCTCCTATAATGGAAAGCTAGGGTCTCTACCTTGGGGCTTTAACCTTGGGGTCATTTCTCATGACTATTGGGATCTCTTCCCCAACATAAGGGCTTACCCCTGTTGGGCTGTTCCAGACTAGACCGTCAGGCCATTCCACCTTCCCTCTAGGGCAGCTATTGCCACTCATTAAAGGATTCACTCCAGATGGAACCTTGTTCTTAAACTTGCTGAGGGAACATGAGGGTTTTTTCCAAAAGGGAATTTCTTGGAGGAACACTAGCAGTGAGAGACATTTGTAGTTTCTGACCTTTTATAGGGATCTTGTTTGCATCAGCTTCTTTTGTTTCCTTAGATATCGACTTCATTGACAAGTCAGTGGTTGGAAACCCAAGAGATTTGGCTTTAGATCTCCACATTGACCCTAGGTAGTTGGGGGGATGGGGGGAAAAGCCAGAGACATCTTCACAAGGCAGGGGAGAATACTGAGCCTGGCAGGGCATCTGGCCTCTTGACTATACATAGCTCCCCACAAAACAGTACAGTTAGGCCATCTACGGGAATGTTTGCCAACATACCGGGGTAGGTGAGAGGACTTTCTAGGGGATGGTGAGGAGCTTATGTTAGGTTTCCTAGGAGGTATGGCTCTTGATTTGTCTCAGAGCAAGGATAAAACAGGCCTGACATTTTGCCAACCCCAACTTAGGGAAGGACTCATGGGTCTTCTTTTGATACCTAGGCTGGGTCCTCTTGCATATTTGTAGGTGGGAATAAACAGATTCTGGAGAGCAGCTGCAGTTTGACCCCATCTGGGAAGATCTCGTGGATAATGTGCTCAGTTTAAAATTAACCAAGCTTCCTTTCAAGCTTGTTTTTATTTACCACCAGTAGGAAGCAGAGGCAGGAAGATGTAAAGAGAAAATGAGACTGAAAGGAGGACACCATTGGAACGTAGTGTAAGAAGTGTCAGAGACAAGTGTAACCATAGTGTGAAGAAAATAGGACTTTTCTAAAGTCTGAAGAGCAATTGTGAGGGCCAGTGGTGATTCTTTTCCCTCTGTAGACTTCACCCGAAATTCTTGCCCTCAGGGTAACTACGTGCTGGATCGAGATGAGCTAGTGGAGGCCCAAAAACCTGAGTATGATGTGGTGCTCTGCCTCAGCCTCACCAAGTGGGTGCATCTGAACTGGGGAGATGAGGGACTGAAGCGCATGTTCCGCCGAATCTACCGGCACCTACGCCCAGGGGGCATCCTGGTCCTGGAGCCCCAACCATGGTCATCCTATGGCAAGAGAAAGACTCTTACAGTAAGTTGGGTTTCTGTGGAAATGGGAAATAATCTTTTGGTTGAAGCAAAAAAGTCTCAAGGAAGCAGAAAGATTTGAGTGACAGGAGAAGGTCCCTGGGTGAACATCATTCTTGGCTAGGGGGAGGAGGCAGCAAGCAGAGGTATTATCTCCTGCCTTTCTTCCCAGGAAACAATCTATAAGAACTACTTTCGAATCCAACTGAAGCCAGAACAGTTCAGCTCCTATCTGATGTCCCCAGAGGTGGGCTTCTCCAGCTATGAGCTCGTGGCCACACCCCACAACACCTCCAAAGGTAAGGTTGGTTCTTTGAGTTGGGGGAGGCTGGTCCTGGCTGAAAGGGTGCAGAACCAATGGAGAGTTCTAAGATACTGCCAACCTGCTTCCTGACTTCATACTCTTCCCCTTAGGCTTCCAGCGTCCTGTGTACCTGTTCCACAAGGCCCGTTCCCCCAGCCACTAAGTGGCCCCTGAACAGAAAGTGCGAAGAGGCTGCCCTTGCTGCTCCTAAGGACCTGGGGAAAGAGGAAAGCATCCCAAGGTTTTTCCTTTCTGACTCCAAAAATAGTTTCCTTTCTTGGATCTGCAAAGAATACTTATTAAGTTGCTGCCCTGGCCTCCTCCCTATACCTCTGGCACCTGAGCAGCAAGCCCAGCTGTGCTGGAGTTACCATCATCTTCTCCACTAGCCTGCTGGGCTGGATGGCTTGGACTGTTTGCTGAACTCTGTTCTAGGGCATGGGAAGTGGGGAATGTCAAATCCTCATAGCCCTTTCCTCCTGCTCTCAGATTCCCGATTCTCCTCAGCCCTTGCCCCTAGCTGCATTTCAGTGAACATGAATAGATGGACTGAGGTTTAAGAGGGGGAAGTTTGGCAGGGAGGCACACAGGTACTGTGAAAATCCTTCCTTCTGCTGTCCCCCAGTGGGAGTGGGGGCTGGGTTTGGAATGTGAGAACAGCACAATAAACTTAATGTCTAGGGCAGTGGCCCCCCCCACACACCTGATATGTGGCTGTTTCTAGCTGGGGAAGGGATGGCACCTCCTGTCAAACCAGTTCCTACTGTAGGATCTCAAAGAGAATTTTTTTAATGGTTGGGAAGATTGCTGGGTGCTAATCACATCTACACTTCATTTCACAGAACCCTGGTCACAAAAGGAGTGTAACACAAATTTTGATGTGCAACTTTGAGTATGACTAACCCCAAAAACCTTGTTGAAAAATATTTTTGTGGGAACCTTGGGCAGAAGGCTAATTTTGGAGGTTTTAACAGGGCACTTTGGCCAAAGACACTTTTTTTTTTCTTTTTCTGTGGCTTAACACTTAGGCAAAGGCAAATAACATGAAGCTCTTCAGTGGTCTGTCAAGGGTTACTGGCATCCTGAACATTGATTCAACAAATACTGAAAATTCTGGGGTTAAGTGTAAATAAGATGGGCAGGGCCCTTAAAGATGAAAGCAAGCCTTGCAGATACCTTCAAACAGGTAATGAGGGAAGGCCTCCATAAACTGCAATAGGCCAAGACCCACATGTGTACCTTTTATCTACTCATGGGTAATGCAGAAGTTTTAAAAGCTTTTGTAGGGGCTGCTGTTGAGGATTGAACCCCAAGACCTATGAATGCTAAGCACACACTTTACCGCTGATCTATACCTACCCTAGTAGTGCAAAGGTGGTGGCTGTGACTGAAGGGGAAAGGTAGGCAGGGGATGGGGATCTAATCCCTGATTGGGAACTTTCCTAAAACGACCAAAAACTCACTTCCAGGCAGCTTCCAACATGCACCCCAGGTGGAAGACCCCTGGAGGGGTTTTAGTCCTTTCCTGGCTCCCAAAAAGAGTTACATTTATTAGCAAAACCACTTTATTCTGAAAAAAATTTTTGACCTACAAAAATATGAACTAGCAATCCAGGGAGCTTTGGGGTCTAAGCTTCCCACCGTCGCAGTGTCCGATGCATGAGGAAGGTGTCCTCTGAAGGGCGGGGCCGGGGCTGAAGCCGTAGAGGGGGCAGTCCGTCCAGGGTCAAGTGCGGAGATTCATAAAACAATGTGCCCGGGTCGCACAGGATGGTCATGTCCGGTCCCGGCCCTGGTGGCTCCTGTTGGAGTCGGGGCCAAAGCAAGGTTACAGGCTGGGAAGAAGGAGAATCCGCGAGGACAGGAGACCCAAGGTCAAGTCCAAGCCCCGGTCCCTTCACCTTTGGGGGCGGGGCTCGGGCTTGCGGCGGCAGGAGCGCCAATTTCTCCCTGAGTGCAGCATTGAGAACCTGTTCCTCCGGCACCTGCAAGCTCACCAGGTCCCGGAAGAGCCGCTTGGAGCGCGGCACGTTCAATCCTGATAGCGCAGAGGGGGTTGGGGTGAGTGACGCCCCCTCACTCAGACTCCCGCGCCCGACCGGCCGCTCGCCCAGCTCACCCTCGGCCACACTGTCCTCCAGGCCGCAGCGGATCTGGAAAGACTTTCTCAGCTGCTCTTCCACGGCTTTCGTGGCATCAAACTGGCCCATGGATGCGGCCCGCGCGGCCTGCAGCTCGAGGCTCAGGGCCATGCTACTCTGCCGCGCGGGCGCCTCCAGCTCCTGCGGCGCCGCGGGCTTGTCGCTAGGTGCAGCGGCCGGGGACAGCGGCTCGGGCCGGACGGGTGAGGGAGGCGCCAGGTGGAAACGGACCTGGAGCAGAGAGCAGCACCGTGAAGAGACATGCTCCTGGCCGTCGGCAGGATGGGGGCCAGGCTTCCCCCCAGCTCACCTGCCGCCCTCTCCGAGCCCCACCCCGGCGCTCCGCCCGCCCCTTCCGCCGCCCCGGACTGCAGTTCCGCGGCTCGGGGCTCTCGGGCCGCGGGCTCAGACTCAGATCCAGGCCGGGCTCGGGCACTGGAGCTCGGGGTTCCTGGGCGCGTGGTTCTGGGGGTGGTCCCGGGGACTCCACGGCCTCTTCCCCTTCCACGAACTTCAGCTCTGATTCCCCGCAGCCCCTCATCTTAGAGTTGGTGAAGGGTCGCAGCACAGCTTCGCCTCCTCCTCCTCTTCTCCCCCACCCCTCACAGACGCCGCTGCAGGAAAACCGTTAGCCCTTACCCACGAGGGCGGGGACAACACCCACCCACCCCGCCTATTGGCGTTCCTACGGTGTCAGTTTCTTTGCTCCTCCCCCAGCCTCCGGGCGGACTTCCGCCCGCAGAGTCTGGCACCGCCTCTTAGGCCCGGGAGAGAGCCGAAGACCTGGAAGCCCTACGAGTGCTCAGCAGGACCACTTCTTTCGAAAACTCTGATTTGACCATCCGACCTGTGTGGGCTCTTCTCCCGGCTTGTGTTGTGGTCCCGAGTGTGTCCGTCCTCTCTTTGGGACGCCAAGAGGGGAAACCTTAACTAAACCGCCCAGTGTCCACGCATCTAGTCCTCCCGCTTCTGTGCCTCCACCGCATCCCCCGGTTCCGTCACCTCGGAACGCAGGCCTTTGTTTCCCTGGGCCACTCCACGAGAGTGGAGGCTCTCGTGGGCCCCAGCCCAGGCTCCCGCCAGGCACTTAGCCGTTCTGCAGCGTTTTGTGACTTGGTTTTTCCTTCGAGGGTTACCTGAAATATTGACTGGTATAAAATAGATATCTGCATGCTCTGTACTTTTTTTTTTTTTTTTAACTTTTGTATTTAACCCGGCTCCACTCTTGTCCAGGCTGGGGTAGACCGGTGGACCGCGGGAGGTTGGAGCGCCCGCCTGCTCCGACGTTCCCTGGTGCAGGTCCCCTCAATTCTGTGAGTCTCCGTTTATTCTTGTGTAAAATGTGTAGATTGGACTCTTGAGGCTTTCCCGGAGGAGACCGATGATCTGTCAATAGGCATGTTTGCGTACAAGCATGTTGAGAGTTTCACATTATTTATCTTCCCAGGAAATGCTATGGAAAATCAAATAGAAGGGATAGCATAGCCCACATTTTACACGCACACACACACGCACACACACGAAAGAAAGAAAAGGAATTTAAAGGAGGATCTCAATGGTGAAACTAAAACCTTTCCCGTTGAAGTCAGGACTAAGGTTTACTGGATTGTTAAAGGGAATAGGGCAATCTAAATATAAATAAACGGTGCAAGTATAGATTATTTAAATGGTGACCTGGGGCAAGAAAGACCAGAGTGAAAGGAAAAGAGTCTAAAAGTCTCTGAATATACTTTGTTTAATATATATGAATTTGGAAATATATTTTTACATCATTATTATTATTATTATTTGAAAATAAATCTCTAAAAATTGAAAGTGAAATGTGTGTCAGATGTCTTTAGAAATGACTTTAAACAGTAATTTGGGGTCTGAGAACATAGGTCAGTTGTAGAGTTCATGCAATCTGAATTTAATCTCCAGCATGACCAAAACAGAAAACAAACAAAAAACTAATTTATACATCCCCATCTCCTAGAGAACCAAAGCAACTGACATTTTTAAACTGCCATAAAATCTTAAACCATTTTTAGTAATCTTGCTGGAAGATGTGAAAATATGTAGGATAAAACAATAGTGTCCATTTTGGAAAGGACAAACTGGAATTTTGGTGTAGGAGATGCAAAATCAGTGAATGATAACACACAAAATCTGTGCAGTCTTGAATTTAGATAAGAAGTATCTGTATGAATTCATGGTATATTTTGCCTTAATTTTAAATCTATATCCTAATTCTGTTCATTAAAAAGTCCTCAAAAACAATGACAGATTCAGTGAGCACTCCTAGCTCCCAAAATGTGAATTTGAATTTCACATCACTAAGCATTTGAAAATCTGTGCACAAATGTTCATAGCAGCTTTATTCATAATAGCCAAAAACTGGGAACAACCTACATGTCTTTTAGCAAATAAAGAGTTAAACTATGGTGTATTCATACAATAGAATAGTAATCAGCCAAAATAGGGAACAAATTATTGACATGAAAAGTGCTGATCCCCAAAAGTGACATGTTGTCTGATTCCATTTATACAGCATTTTAGAAATGATGAAAGTTTGGAAATAGAAAACATTTAGTGAACAAGTGGACATGGTGCTGGGAGGAGGTGGTTGTGGTGACAGAAGGGCAACATCAAGGATCCTTTGGTATTGAGAAGCTCATGGTCTTTGGTGGTAGATCCAGGAACATAGATGATGAAATTCATATACAAACATGAATGAGCACAAAACGGGGAAATGTAAATAAGACTGGTAGATTGTATGGACTATTCTGATTGTGATAATATAGTTTTGCAAGCTGTTCCCATTGGGTTGGCAGTGGCAGAGCATTTGCCTAGCAACTGTGAAGCCCTGCGTTCAATCCAGATACCAAAAAAAAAATTAAAAACTAAAAACATAAATTACCATTAGGAAAACTGGAGAAAATATACAAGGGATCTGTCTGTATTATTTCTTAACAATTATATGTGAATCAAAATTTATCTCAATCATGTTCTTATTAAAAATTATGTTGGAGTTGAGAACAATGCTTGAAGATATATAAATGAAAAAAAGATTAGCCAAATGTTGATGATTGCTGAAGCTAGCCAATGGGTATAAGGCATTTCTTTTGTT